CTGAGCGACCGGAAATGACGGTCTCTAGTTGTGCTCAGTGCACCCATCCATCTTGCTGTCTTTGGGGGTCACTCTTAAAATCCAGTGCGCCCAGAATCAGGGGTACCTTGAGTACTCATAATTCCTGCAGCCCGGTCATCCCAAAGCACTGTCAAAACGCGGACTTAACCCTGAGCCTAAACCCCTAAACTGYCGTTTTCAGGCGGCGCACTACTTGTGGCCGCCTGACACCGTGTCCTATCTCATTCTTGGTGTGATATTCTCCTTTCTCCCCAACCAGGGGCCAAGTCCACTTGGCCGGATCCTTCCTTTCTGGCGTTGATCTCCGGAATTGATGGTCAAAAATCAAAAATATGAAGTGGTGCTTGGTCCCAGGCCAACTTAGGTCTGCCTGTAACAGTTGATGGCTGTGCCATTTGGCTAAATGCGCTTGGGATTTTTTTTCTTTTTGTTTTTCTGGCCAATTCGTTGTTTTTGTTTTCCTGCATTCCTCCCCCCACCTCCCTCTCCCCCCTGGGTTGTTTGTGCTATTCCTTCGGGACCCCAAACAATTCACAACCGCTCAGGCCATACTCACACTAGGACTTATTCTTCTAAGCTCTGGACGTTGTTGCTAGTGTCAGTATTCCTCAGGTATAATTTGAGCCCAGGTCCACTTATCAACGGGTTGATGGGTGTACCATCCAGCCACATGGGCTTTTTGTTCCTTTGTTTCTGGGGTCGCTTGCCCCACCCAGCATACCCAGCATACTCACGTTAGGGCTTTTTCTTCTAAGCTCTCGAAGCTATGGCAGTTAAATTGATCCAGGTCTGGCCCTTAGAGCTCTTCCCGCTATAGAATTCCTGCCCAGGTCACAGTTGATGGGTGTACCATCCAGCCACATGGCTTTGTTCGTTTTTTGCCCCACCCAGTATCCCCACGTGCACCGCACTGTACCCACCAGCCCACAAAATGCCATGCAGTCTTCATACTCTGACATAGTACTACCCAGTCCACATAGTATGACCTGGACCACATATCATCTACTCACATAGTATGACCTGGACCACATATCATCTACACCGCACAATACCACCCTGCCCACATAATACGGCCTGGTCCACGTAGTCTAGGCTGTCCCGCATAGTACCCCCCAACACGCAGTATAGGCCGCCCCACATGGCGTCTAATGGTATCATTAAACCCTCGTTAAACCCTCATGACATCATGCACACCATATAATACCGCAGACCCCACATAGTACCATAGCCATGCCAAGGGCGCGGTTGGCACTGGGCCGCGGCATCGCTGCTGCGGGTCCACTTGTTACTTCGAAGGTAATTCAACCCTTCAGGATGACCCCCGTTGAAATTTGACTGGAAATCATGATATAGACCAGTGTTACACGGCCGAACGTTCGGGGGGGGTCCGACCTCCCCCTGAACATTCGGGGGTTTGGGCGAAGTTTGGGCCCAGTCCAAGCAGGGGTTTGGGGCTCGCCAAACCCGATTTAGGGGCCGTTTTTTTTTTTTTTTTTTGGTAGATACTACAATACCTGAAGCACCTACCTGTGAATTTTTGTTTGATTCTGTTGAATAAATGAAAAACTAAAAAGAAGATAGGGAAGTGAAAAGCAATTGGAACCCCCCCACCCCCCCCACCCCAATTTGTCGGTTCTATTTTTTCCTTTTGGGTTTGTTCGTTTTATTTGGAATCAATCAACCAATCAATCAAATTGGATCAACAACGTTTGATGGATTGCACACACACACACACACACACACACGGCCTTTAGTCTAACACAATCGTGCTGTTTTTTTTTTCTTTTTCTTTTGTTTCTTTTTTTTCTATGAAGTTGTGTTTAGGGAAACACAACACACACACACACATACACACGCGCACACGCACATGAGAGAGAGAGAGAGAGAGAGAGAGAGAGAGAGAGAGAGAGAGAGAGAGAGAGAGAGAGAGAGAGAGAGAGAGAGAGAGAGNAGAGAGAGAGAGAGAGAGAGAGAGAGAGAGAGAGAGAGAGAGAGAGAGAGAGAGAGAGAGAGGGGAAGCGGGCACAGAGGGGGAGGGGGAGCTGGAGCCAAGGGGGAAGGAGAGTGGGAGCGGGAGCGGGTGGCTGCAGGAGTGGGGGAGGCAGTGGGCAGTGTGTGTGTGTGTGTGTGTGTGTGTGTGTGTGTGCATTGTCACGTTCGCTATACACTAAAAAAAAGCATGACAGTGCCAGAATGTTTCATGTGTGTGTGTGTTGTCATATTCGCTAACACTAAAAAAAAGCATGACTGTGCCAGACTGTTTCGCCGGACTTTTACCGACTCATCAGGAGTGCATGTGTGTGTGTGTGTGTGTTGTAAATGTTCACCACAACATCCCCTGTTCCATCCAGATAAGTAGATCCAAAATCGGCAGCAACTTTACCTCTATTGTTGAAGATGTGTGTGTGTGTGTGTGTGTGTGTGTGTGTGTGTGTGTGTGTGTGTGTGTGTGTGTGTGTGGTGCCATATTCGCTATACCGTGTATACACTCAAAAAAAGCATGACTGCTGTGTGTGTGTGTGTGTTTGTGTGTGGTGCCATATTCGCTATACACTCAAAAAAAGCATGTGTTTGTGTGTGGTGCCATATTCGCAGCTCTGTGTGTGTGTGTGTGTGTGTGTGTGTGTGTGTGTGTGTGTGTGTGTGTGTGTGTGTATGTGTGTTTTAGATTTTACCCACAACAGCCCCAATTCCAACCAGATGAATAGATTCGGAATCAAAGCAGTCTTTGTCCTATTGTGTGTGTGTGTGTGTGTATGTGTGTGTGTGTGTTTTGCCATATTCGCTATACACTAAAAGAAAGTAAGACTGCTGTGTGTGTGTGTGAGCACGCTTTTTTTTTTCTGGATAAAACTAATCAATCAATCAATCCCACTGTATTCGCTATTTACAACTTCAACAAATGAGATTTGTTTGATTGTCTTGCAAGGAACCTGACTGTTCACAACTTGCGGGAGTGTTCAATTTACATGCACATTCGTCATCACACAAATAGGATAGCTTCACACAAAGCCGAAGTCGAGATGAGATAAGAACCAGATAGCGCAGCTCATATTATCAAATCCACATTATACAAGAGTATCTCGAGTTCAAATGTTCAGCGCCAACAAAATGCAAGTCTTCTTCCCTCATTCGTCAGCATAGGACCTGGCTCAGCCAGCGTCACCCTTCAGATCACACGCAAACAGGTACGTATTCACCATATCCCACTTCGTAACCTGTCTTCTCTCTCAAGATCCCTGTCGTGGTTCCCTTCTCTCACTATGCATGCACACTCCTTGTCTACGAGAATCTACTGTGAATGCCTCTCACTGATATCCTACTACTAACCCCACTACTTCTACCATTACTAACTCAGACTGGCGCAGCTATGGCTTCCCTGCAGCCAGCGCCCAGCCCTCCTTCCTTCTGGCGCAGCCCTCTCTCAGCCAGCGCTCCTCCCTGCACTATAGCGCACAAGTGCCTCAGCACTTCCACGCATCAATGCCAATGGGGAATCTGCCTTGTGGGGAGGCTGCCTCGTCCTTTATAGTGGCCTCCCCTTGTGAGGTCTGAATTCAGTCTGTCTTGGGTCATTTTTGTGGAGTGTGTCCCAATTCCTTATCCTCAGGGTCCACTGCTGCTGCGGCCTTCAGGCCTCAATTTCGGACTTCCAATCTGTATCTAGACTCTCCCTTTGACTTGAATCTTGACTGGGACTTCACCTTTTTGACTTCCTTTGAACAGACACACCTACTGCTCGAACAGACACACATTCTGCACGAACAGATACACATACTGCACGAACAGACACACACACTGCACGTACAGACACATCTCCTGCATGAACAGACATGACTTGCACACCCCCTGGATGAACAGATGTGACGCCCATATCTGAATATTGCAACTGTTCGTCCAGGGGCACAACTGTGACCTTTGACATTGACTTTTACCCAGAGAACATGTCCTTTGATCTGCTTTCACGAGTTGGGCTCTGGGCGAGTGACCCCACTAGGCTGCTCTCGTCAGTCAGGGCCTGAATCGGGTAAGGGCCCTTTTAGTTTGATTGTTTGATTGTTTGATTGTTTGATTGTTTGATCAATCTCAAAAATAAAACACACGCAAGCATGACACACGTGCACACACACACACACACACGGGCCATGCGGCGGGAGGGGGTTTCATCCGTTCGGCAGGGGAATTGGCCCCCTGCCCAAACAATTTCTCCTTTTGATGAAAACATGTTTCCTAAAACGAATCCCACCTCCGCAATGAACCGAAAATAATAATAATAATAATAAAATTGAAATCTCTCGTTAGGCCGAACGCCAGCCAGGGGGGTCCCGAACGTTCGGTTGTTTGGGCCGTCTTGTTTGGCCCCGGCCGAACTCAGGTAACCCTGATATAGACTACTATAGAGATTTCCAAAAAAGAAAAAAGAAAAAAAAAGGATATCATATATGATAATTCTTTACATTTTGGTAACACGATGCTGGATGAACTGTGGAAAGCCTTTCAGATTACCTCAGGAGAGCAGCTGCAAGACCCTCAGCATTTGCACGATCCAAATTGGTGGTTGGCTCATCGAGTGCAAGGATGCCACAGTTAAGGCAAAATGTCTCGGCCAGTGCAAGCCTGATGATAAGAGAGGCCAGCACCTGCACAAACAATGAACTCTCAGTTCAGAAAGGCTCCAAAAGAAGTATACTCACCGCGGTTGGTATGGACAGCTGCAAGTTTGCAACCTTGCATAAAGGTAGGAGGCATAAGGAAAACAACAAAGGTAAACACAGGTGTCGACAATCTAGAGAAAAAATATTATGATAGTCTGAAAGGCAGAGCTGATAGATAGCACTGGTAACCATGCTAAATGGTGGCCGTAACTAGTAGCCACAGCGAGCTGGTAGCCATAGCTATCTGTTGGACATAGCTAGCTGTTGGACGAGCCATGAATGGCAGCCATAGCTAGCTGGTAGACATAGCTGATACCCACAGCCAGTAGTCATAGCCGGCAGACATAACTCGTTGGTGGCCATAGGTGACACATATTCATTATTGGATACTCAGAGATTTCAGCATATACCCAGATTTGCCTTTAGCATTACTGTGTAAGCGCCCCAGATAACGGATTGGCCCCAGATAACCTACCCATTATGCCAGGTTCGGTAGGGAGCCATCGCTAGCTGATAGCTAAAGCTAGAATGTAGGCATAGCTTGCTCTTCGCCGTGGCTATCCGGTATCCAGAGCCGATAGCCATAGCTTGCTGGTTGGAACCGTCAACTGGTAGCTTAGTCAGTGGAGACCGACAAAAGAGTACTCAAATTTGAGAGAAAAGAGAGCGATTGCCTGAAGCTGGAAGACACAGAAGAGAGTGATTGCGATTGGCGATGGTGGGGAGACTTATACACTCGTGTAACAAGTTTGGTGATAATGAAGGTTCACAGCGGTCTGGAAATTACTAAATACTAACTAGTATTAGGCTATTAGAAATTGCGAGTGATTGGTAATGATCATCATACGCTCTACCTGTGAAAATAATTCTATTTCATGAATGGCTTTTCACTTGGCAGTGCCCAAATTGAATAATTGTTTGACATTGTGCCTCTCCCCTCTACTGAAACAGTCTCACAACTCGTGGGTGTTCCTGGTGAAGACATTTTTATTTTTCATTGTATTTTTCTCGTTTTCTCCACAGGGGAAGGGGAGGTGGGGGAAGGTGGGGAGGCGAAGAGGAAATCAGCAATTTGTCCAGGCTACACAAGGAGTTTCCTCAGCAAGAAGTCTAATTGCCCAACCTTCAATCGCTTCAGGTCACCAAATATGAACTGGCATCTTTTCAGTATTTGGTGGCTATTTACAGATGATTCATGGTCATTGGTACCCCCTATTACATAAAAAAAAGGAAACAAAGAAAAGGGACGAAGAAAAGAAAAGAAACCATCATGCCTACGAGTCCTTTGCTTCAAACAATTTTCTTTCTCCCTAGTAGAAATCCAGGCATTACAGTTGCACTTGCGTCTTTTTCACTTTTTAGTTTTGACATACTGGTCATTTGCTGGAAAGGTGCTAGGCAATCGAGTGTCCAAGAAATGGAACAAAAGAACATTGCAGATGACTGAGAGTTAGACACTGGGCAGGAGAAAGGAAGCAAAAGAACATTTAAGTTGAATGAGACTCACTGAGAAGCAAGGTGGAGGAAGAGGCGGACGATACAGACAAGATTCAGGTCATCCACCATTGGCCCGAGCCGCTCAACGTCATGGACGTTCGTTCGTTCCATGGTTTCACCGGCTATTATCAGCACACAATTGATGGCTACTGAAGATTGCGGCACCATTGACACACTGTCAGTCTCCTTTGGTGCCATTCGAGTTTGACGACAAGGTGCACGCTGTCAATCTCCATTGATGGCAATGCTTGCAGCACCCATGATGAGTACTTGTGACCCCCCCACCTTGCCTACACAAGTTATTACGGACGCACTGGGTTATGGGCTGGGTGCAGTTTTCAAGCAGCATCCGGTCCAGTACTTTAGCAAGAAAGACCCACCCGCCACTCCATCGATGACACAAGAAAGAAGGAGCTGCACCATTCTCAAGAGAGAGTGGCACTTCCTACTTGGGTGCCTGAACTTCAGGTGGATCACCAACGACAACCCACTTGTCTTCTACGACTTGGAAGACGCCGTCAACAGCACTATTGCATGTTGGATGTTCATGATCAACCCGTTCAACTTCACTATGAAACAAAACACTTGCCGGGCACTTCCAAATCGAATCATGGATGCTCTTTCTCAGCAACCCGTCCGACCCGGCCTTTGTGCAATAATGCATTGTACGTTTGACTTTGATGAAGCCCAACCCCGATTTCTGGCTGCTCTACGAGGCACTCCTATCGGCGACTTCTCCGGCGGGCAACTGCCGCATCACCGACAACTTATTGCTCCTTGACAAACACAGTAAGAACTTACGTCGTGTCCCTCACGCTCACCAACTTCCGATACGGCTACTTGGTGAGTACCATGATTGTCGCCTAGCTGGCCAGTTGAAGTGCCGGCACGCCCTTTTTCAGGCGAGCGGCCATTTTCCAGGCAAGGTAGACTTCTGTCCGCATTTGGGCTGGACCAGGTTTCATCTCCAGTGCTGGTCCAGCCCTTCTCTTTTCACGTACATCCCTGGTGAATCAGCAGAAAGGCCTGGATGTCCATTTCAGAATCAAGCAGGCCTTCGATGGTCCAGGATACTGGACATGGGTACTGGCCTGCATCGTGGACCATTGTTCTGTCTTCCTATCAGACGGGCCAGGAGGCCAAGGACACTCCCTACCGGTCCAGAGGTACATAGCTAGACCAGGCCTCAGTTTGGACACCAATATGCTGCAGGAGCAGCGCTCATGGAGTGGGAGTGGTGGAGAGAGCAGAGGTTCTGCAAAAGCGGGCAGTATTGGGTCACTCACCTGGGTGCCATAGCTTGGGCTGTCATGTGCTGCCAGCGTCAGCTGAAGACTCCATATTTTGCTGGTTAGTATCTGGAGACCTCAGAGCGAGAGAGAGAGAAGGAGAGAGAGTGAGAGAGGAGATTCTTTTTTTTTTTTCCCCTCCTCTTTGAGCCCTCCATATCCACCTCTCCCGTCTACTTCTGCTGAGGGGAGAAATCAGAGACTTGGTTACTATTTCGAGAGCTGCGGCTCCCAAGCTCAGACTCGCCTTTGGACTGGGGACGATTGTGGCATTGAGGAGAGAGTAATATTTGGCTGATAAAATTAAATACACTTCTTCTTCTTCTTCTTCTTCCCTACCACATTCCTCTCTCTCCTTCATCTCCATCATCCGTGGTTTTCTCCCTATGTGTCTACTAGCAAGTAGGGATCTTCCATACGTCCCCTACATGCATCTCACCAGGAGCGCTGATGTGTGTGTGTGCTGAGTCGTGAGTCTTCCACTGCTTTGCATTGTTGTTTCTCCTCACTTGGGTGATCCTTGGTCCTGCAACATGCCTATACACTCATAGGCATGCGACTCTCTCTCTCTCTCTCTCTCTCTCTCTCTCCCCCTCTCTCTCCCCCTCTCTCTCTCTCTCCCCCTCCCTTCCTCTCTCTCCCTCTCTCTCTCTCCCTGCTGCGGGCATGGTTTTATCCGCAGAGGGCAGCAGGCCATGGGTAGACGTTCGGAGGAATTCAGAGTGCGGAGAACGGGCATAGGGAGTGTGGAACGCATATTGCAATCGATGGGACCGAAGGCTGGCGGTGACACCTGAGTTTGTGGGCAGCACATATTGGAGAAGTCCCTCTCTCTCTGTCCCTCTCTCACGCACCTTTCAGGGTCCGCTGCTTAGAGAAACAGACAGAGAGAGGCACACATAGAGAAAAGGATGAGTACGACAACATGTGGTCTTTGTAAGGACTTGAGAAAGAGCTCGTACCACAAAAGGATGCCCAAGAGCGACAGACAGTCCTTACATCGCCACATGCAACTGTTAGGACCTAGAGCGAATGACAAGGGTGCTTTTATCAAAGCGCACAGCGGGTAGGACCTAGGCCCGTCACTGACTGGGCCCAGATTGTCATGTGGCTTGTTGAGCTGGTAGGACCTGGCAGATGAACCAAGTTGACGCACAATATTAATATTGTAAGACCGTAAAACAGACTGCTCCATGGGCCCGGAAGGACTGCGGGCAGTGCAGATTCAAGATTTCTTACATCAGCGATTTTATGGTGCTGGAGACATGGCATACATCTGCTCCGCTTTTGTGCTTTCTAGACAATAACAACAGTTATATGTTGGATCAGTGGCAACACTCCCTTATATATTTATGAATGTGAACCATTAGCCTTTCCTGGCCATTTAGAATGAATTAAAAGAGAATGTGGACTGTTAACCTTTCCTGGATGGTGTGAAACCATCCATTTCAAGCCACTTTTTCCCGATGCCCTGTGCTGGATGGCCCTAAGAAAATTGAACTGTTGCAGGCGTAAGCTTGCCAGGTGTCACCAGAGTCCAGTGGGCCCAAAATTCGATTTTCCAGCGAGTTAACGGGCCCATTGGAAGGACGTTAATGGACCGGTGGTTTAAGATTAGAATCCGTAAGATCAAAAATGAAATTCAGTCCTGAGGGCGCAGGATCTGATAATAGAAGGGTCATCTCACCTTCTGTCCAGCGCTACATCTTCCTCTCATGTCCAATTCTGCATCCCCACTCCTCATTACCACCTGATTGTTAACAACAAAAGGACGAACTTAAGGATTAGAGGAGGGAGGAACTAAGCTTTCCATTGCCTCCCTCAGCATCCACTCCATCCCAAACCATGATTCAATGTTAATGATAATTGTGAACATTGATGCCATTCATCATTGCAATGAAGCATGGTGGGGTCTCCATCAATCACCGCCAACTTCCTGCCACATGTTCACTATTGAGAAGAATCCCTACGAATTCATAATGATAAGAGCAACATACATCCAATCATGGCACAATGACTCACTACCATTTTTTTTTGACCCCACTCTCTCTCTCTCACACACACACACACACACACACACACACACACACACATAGTTGGATGTGTTTTGTTGGGTTTGTTTTTAACTTTTTATACATGGCCTAATTCTTTGCCCTGGTCTGCCGCATGGGCTGTTTTGTTGATGAAGTGATGTTTGTGGGTGGCCACGAGCTTTTTGGGGGGTGGGTGTTTGGGGTTCTGTCCATAATACGTCTGCGAGGAGGCGCAGAGAGTGTTTGCTGTGAGTGTCATTCCCGCGGGCTGCTTTTTCGGAGCACTGAGAAGAATGGGGCAGCTTCTAGGGTGTTTTAAGCAGTAGCGCTCCTGGTGTCGCGTGGAGATCTTGTGGAATTTGGCATATTAGTTATGGAGGGATAGAGATGGCGGTTGCCAGTGGAGGTATGTTGTGTTTCGCCTTTATCTTTATTGTGTGGGCCGACGTAAAGGGCTCTCCAGGTTTCTCGGATCTTTGGGGGATGGGGTCGGAGCTTTCTTGCTGGTAAAGTCCTCGGTTTTAGGTAAGTTGCTTCTTGCCCTCCACCCTTTTATGGACTAAATCAATATATGCATGCATGTATATGTGCAAGCGTGCCGCTTCGGCGGCAGACGGGTGTGTGGGCACTTGGCGCAGAACCACACAAACATGGTGATACATGCTCCATCTAGTCTATTGGTTCTGAGAGGAAGGCGGAAGGCAGGATTGCAGCCCGTAGGACCGCATCAAGACCGTGGGGAGTCCACCCACCGATTGCAGTGTCGAGCACATCGGCTCCCGTCTTTTTGCAAAGCGCGGGAGCCCTCCCAGCTATGTCACGCAGGAGTCAAAACAAAACAAAACAAATATAATTATATATATCGTCACAAACAGAACTGCCCGGTAACCAGAGAGAGAGAAAAGGACAACAAACGAGGGGTTGTGACAAACTGTTTCGTCGGAGTTTCACCGACTCAAAACAGGAGGCAACTTAGGGGACGGCGCAACATAATTCCGCGAACCGTTGAAACGGTCGAGGCCGTGCCCTCCCTTCGCCGCTCTAGCCGGGTGCGCCAGCTGTACATCCCACGGTCCCTACACAGGATAGGTTTTCGCGGGGCACATCTTACCTTCCCTAAGGGGCTGTCACCACCCTCAGGAGTGTATCCCTACCGAGCTACTGACTCACATGCGATAGCTTTTACATGCAATTGCAGAGGTGGTGCAGCCGAGGGCGTTTGCTCGTTCGCTGGAGTATAAGTACGCTTGGTTAACGCCAAATGGACCCGAACATTGTTCGTTCCCTAGGGCGCCGATCTCCTAGATACGAAACGAACGTCGGTCGACTAGGACGGTCTCAACCAAACATGAATCCCATAAAACTGATCCTAGTTCCTTTCTGATCACCATATAAATGAAATCAATACACTTTTATCAAATCACGCAAGACAGGGTTCTTGACTTGATGAGATGACTTGCCAAAGTTATTCTTCCTAACCTATATAACTGAAGAGACCATTGCACTGCCGCTCCTGAGGCGGAGGTTCAATATTGACGACTGATTAGGAAAGACAACCTCATTTTAAACTTACTATCGGGTCTGTTGACACTTACTAGTTCCTGCCAGGAATAACTTCTGCAAGTAAATTCCACTGCTACCATGCAGATCAACAAGTGATCTGATTCCTGGCTGAAGTGTGAACTCTCGGTTCGACCACACCCCCGCAACATATGTAACTTAGTTAGAGGCGCATATCAATTTTGTTGGTCGCTTTGTCCTCCTCGACAATAATTACCATTTTCCTTTTCTTGAAGGGTGAAGTATCAACCTTCATCTTCAAAAAACCCTTATTCGTGTGCCTCCCTCTTACACATAGCCTGCATTGACATGCATTTGATTACCCCTCAATGCAAAAGCATGATAGTTCAATCATTGGGGCAATCTAGATACTATCCATCTGGTTGGTCATATCTATAAAAAAATTGTTTGTTTGTTTTTTTTCCTATTTTTATTATTACCCTCGTATAGTCATATACTTGACCCTATCGTAAGGACTACTTAACTTGGCACCTGACTTATAAAGGCGTGTCTAGCCATGATAGAGTTATTGGCCCTCGCGGGCCTCTGCCTCTATCTAGTCGAGCCGGGCGAGCCCCTCGTCGTCAAAAACTAAGGCGGTAGTGCGTCCGCCCCGCCTGACCCGAACCATTCGCGTACCATAGAGGGAAGCCATCCGCGAGGCCAGCCTCCAAGCTATGGCGCGAAACGGTTGTCGCATTCGAAAGAGATGCCTGCCTAGTCGTGGTGTCCTTAATCCGAATGACGCCGTAGCGCTCCCCGGATAGGGTAATTGTAACACTCACAATGACCCGCGAAAGGCATTGGAAGTTGCTTGCGCGATGGAAGTACCCATGAACTTCTTCCGGAAGTCGGGGCACATTGGCACGGACTTCCGCGCGCGAGTTAAGAAAAAATCTTTGCCCATCACTGAGGAATCCAACAAAACCAACCCAACGAGTGGGCGCATCATCTTGAACAAGTAGTAGTCGCTCCGCGCGCCGGATCAACTCCTCATCCATAGTGTCGCGAACCAGCAGATACCTGGCCTGAGTAAGATCCCGTCGTCCGCTAGTCATCTGCACACCCGAAAGAGTCGCCAGTAAGAAGAGACATTCCCAGATCTCACAAGCCTCATCATTGAACGCGGTAACGTCAAAACGTTCAGAGCGAAAGATATTAAATCTATTCGCTCGTACCCGTCTGACATGATGAAGGAGACTGAAAGGTCCTTGCTGATCGTTCAACCATAATACAATATAGAGAAACATTCCTCTAATCTCAGGAATGTGTTCTCTAACTGGATTTGCTTCATGAACTACAACAAGATTCATATCTCCGTAATTCGGTGATGGATTAGGAGGCGCAAACTCATACCGCACAATGTGTCGTTCATGCTCTATCAGGAAAATATAATTCCGCAGAGGGTTCCTCACACTTCCATCCCAAAACCACGGTTCGTCTCGTTCCGAAAAAACGTCAAGCGGATTATAAACCAAGCGTCCTTTTCGTATCATACCGGCACGTGATCGCGTCGGCCCTGCTATCCAATCCATTGCCGCCTCTCGCGTACTGAACAATCGAAAATTACTGCTCCAGCGGACATTTGGATGACAAAGTAATGACTTTGTCAAAATAAATTTATATACATCAATCTTTGCACTCATCCTCCCTTTTCCCTGGGCCGTGATTCTTGTGTCACGGTCCAACCTCGAAGGTAGTGCCTACTTGCACTACTTTAACACTATTTAAAGCATGGACTGGGCTTCTTTTGGCTCCAGTTCTCCATAGGATGGTGGCGCCTAAGATGGCCACCCAAAAGAAGGTGTTGATTTCAGTCCTCCCCAACTTGAAGGTATGAGAAAGCGGCGACCCTTTACTGCAGGACATCCTACCCTCTAGAAAGTGGTCTGGAATACCCCTCCTCCTCGTCCGAACACATTGTTCAGATCCCAGAAGTTGGGCTGGCTCCACCGCAATACAGCATGGTATTCCCTTATTAAACGGTCCACTCCGGGTCAATAACAGGGCCGGCTCCTAAAGCAACGAACCCCTGTCGTGGATGCCTCCTAGAGAGAAGAAGTCCCAAGCTCTAGGTGTAGACATTTTCTCTGTACCTTTCTACTGAGGGGTTGACTTAGACGAATCAGAAAATAGTTCAAGGAGAAGTAAGACTCTTTTTGGACGGGTACAGAGGGAAATGGTCATTCGGGATAGAACGGAACGATGCTTGGGGAAGATACTAAATTATTTCTTATCTTCGTCTTCGTCATCCATGAATTCCATTTTTTCGGCACCCATCAACTTTTCTTTTTCACTATATTTTTCTTCTGACATACAGACAGATAAAGAGTTGAAGAAGAGTAACATTTTCATTCCTCCCTTGAGCAAGCAAAACGCCGATCCCTTCTCACATCATCCATTTACCCACCTGTACAACCAAACAGAAACAACAACCCAAAATCGTCCATACCCCAACCAAAGTCAGCCCCCTTTCCACATGCATGACATCACACACCTACCTTTCCCTGAATTCCAAGCAAGGTCATGCAAGGTGTAGGTTCACACTGGTGTGCAAGGGAAATTGAGTCAACTGACTGGCAGACTGACCTTGAGTGAAGTTTACAAAAATGTTCCACTCAAGAAGACCGTTTAAAACTTCGCCACTTGATAAGAGGATCGTCGCAACGAGTCGTCAACAAGGTGTCCACACCACACCCTCAAAGTAATCACCTGCCGCAACACTCCCCCAACACTCTATTACTCTTAACAATTCAATAGCACCTCAGTGTCGTCGTCACTCGCCTCCAATTTCACGGCGCCACTTATGGCGTCATGCTCACCCCACTGTCATATGTACCATCACTTACGGTACCCTCCTTGCACCAATGCCCAGACACCGCGTCTCACAATTAGCACAAAAATACTACCTCCACTGTTGTCAAAAATCGGCAGCGCTTTAATCCAGCACCTGTCACCGAAATCCGGTAGCACTTCCGCGTTACCACCACCAAATACCAGCGCTGTCGCTGCAAAATTTCGGGCAGCGCTTCCGCGTCACCAAACCCAAGACTAGTGCCACTGTTACAAAAATTTAGCCATGCTCCCGTAGTACATCAGCAAAATTGTCGTTGCTGCCAAAACCACACAGCATTTCCCCAACACTTCTCCAACGATG